ACAATGTTACATGTTACAGCCTCGTATATTCAGCTACCTGATCAAGGACCCTGAAGAGTCTTTCCCAGGAACCCTGGCTTGCTCTCATCGAGGCAGCTTGGTGAAGCTGATGACTGGGCAGAGTCTCATCTCTCAGATGAACAACTACTTTGAGTTCCTATTTGGCAATGCTAAGAGCACCACAGCCTTTTGGACGTCACCCTACCTCGACGCCTGGGACCTGGGTATCATGGTGACCCATGCCATCCCTGTCATGAGTAGTGATGGAAAGTAAGTTAGATTTTAATCGTTGAAACGGCTTTATCAGATAAAGGGAGGTTACTAGGAAGTACTTACGACATAAATGAACCTTTTCGTGATTCCTCATTTGTGAATTTTGATGAATTTTTCATGTAACATAACTGTTTGTAACCTTGACCTTTGACATTGGCCACTTTCGTTAATAAGTGTGGGAGCGGGGACCAATTTCTTACAAAGGAGAGGAAGATTTTTTTATTTTTTTTGTCAAAGGTTAATTACTAAAGACTAACCCTTATTAAAAAAACAAAATTGTCCAGAACCTAATTTTGAAGTAACGAGTTCCAAATATATAAGCAGTAACATATATATTCCATTAGCACAGCCCCTTCAAAAACTTTAATTTAGAAGTTTTTGCGGTATATTCTGCCCTTGGAGGATATGTCCTTATATCTTGCCTTGCAGTTTCTCTTTCATGAAAAATTTGGAATGCTGGCAAGCTTGTGACTTACCGGTAGTATCCTATATTCCTCATTTTAATTTGTTTTGTTTAATTGCTACAGAAACATTGGCGTGGTTGGTGTGGATGCCACACTGGATGAGATAGAAAACTTCCTCACCAAGCACCAGTGGGGAACTGTCTACTCCTTCCTCATCAACAATAAAGGGGAGACAATCTACCACCCGCGACTCAAACCCAGCACCAATGTAAGTACATATTGTATACAGGTATCGGGGTACCTATTAAATCTGGTTATTCCATAAAGAACAACAAATATTTGCTGAGGAAAGATTTTTAAATTGAATGACATGCATACAATGTCCTTACATTTTCCTGTACAATGTGCAATATCCTTGTCTTTCTTCTTATACATATTTGGTGTTCATAAGGTTTCTTATATATACTTATATTATTCATCAATATTCTTCTTAATTTATGTACAATGTTCTTAAATTTTCTTATAAATTTACAATGTTGTAAATTTTCTTCTGATACATGTACGATGGTCTTAAATTTCCAGATTTCACATTTGTTCTTAATTTACTTGAATTTAATACTTCATTAGTTTTAACCCGATCTTTTTATCGTGGGCCGATTATTTACATGACATAGGAATATATGAAAATCTTACTTCTTACCAGATTGTAATAAAAATAAATCAGTAATGCATCCTTTTCTGAGAAGATTTAGTGAAAAAAAATTACATACAAACTGGAGGGGTAGGCAAGGACTTTAAACTCTTGGAAAAGGTATATCTACATAAAAGAGGAGAAATGAGATTCACTGAAGTAGGGTTTATACGTGATACGTGGGTATTTCAAGGAAAGGAGCAACCTAACATTTGATTTGATATTAAAAAAAATATGAAGGTAGAAGAATCTGCTTTAGCTGCATCGATTCCAGAGATTTTATGATTTTAATGTTTTTTTCAATTTTTCTATTGATGTTATGGTAATGAAAGACATTTTAGCCATTTCACATACACAATTCAAAATCTTGGACTTGAAAAATTCTATCAGTCTGTCTGAAACAGGAAGTCTTCTGTATCTTTGAGGGTGCAAGTGTATCATTGATAATGACTGAAATTTTGTGTGTGTAATTTATGATAACTACTGATTATTTCAAAAGACTTTTAACAGCATCAAGCAAATTCAAAATTTGTTTCCATTCTGAAATTTTAGATTTTCCACGTAAATTAGAATTTGATTTTAAGGTTGAGATCCACGGTTAAGTGTTTGGTAGTTTAGCAGAGTGTTGGGATATTTGCTGTATCACTAATGGTTGCTTTCTTTAGTTAAACCTAATATTGTAAATTCCATATCCACGCCATTGTCGTGTCACTCACAGTGGTCTCCCTTTAATTGTTAGTGTCGTAGCAATGTACACGACTTCACCTCAACATACAGCTTGAAATTTCTATAAGCCATTTACAATTTTCGGAAAATGCACATTTGATTATATTCAGGGGATATTATCACAATGTCAAATGAATCTTGTTTAATAAAAGCCAACTAATTTTTTTTTTCTTTTCCTCATAAAAAAATCACAGTATATTCCAGAAAATAACCAGCAGAAAGTTGTGCCGGTGTAGTATAGTCAGCTATTCATCCCGAGTATATACCGTACCTCCACTGAGTTTGTGTTGTAACCAACATATCCCGCACAATGGTATAGCTGGCACCTCAGTGTATCTGACCGTTAAGTCATATCTTACACTATACACAAACAATGTACATATTAAATGTGTCGCAGCGTTTTAAAACCTGGGTCCGCAGTCATGAAACCATTCTCATGCTCAAGCATGGATTTTGTCCTCAAAGAAACTTTCTTATAACTCGGTTAAATCATGACAAACGGTCAAAAAGTCAAATGTAAACATTGAAAACAATATTTGGCATTCATTAACAAAATAAGATTTTATTATTAATTCATAACGGAAACAAGAAATTAGGCTTGAGCACAAAATACATGCTTGAGCACAAGAACGGTTTCATGAATACGGGCCCTGGTCACTGGTCCCTGGTCCCTTTATCAAGTTATGACCAGTCAGTCACTGGCTTGACAAAGGGACCAGTCAGTCACTGGCTTGACAAAGGGACCAGTCGTTCTTAAAACGTTGCGACACGTTTCATACGTACATTGTTTGTGTATAAAGTAAAATTTTGATATCACATATTTCCAAACTGTAAATCTTACTGAAGATATCTGACCATTACAACATCCTGGAACAAGTCTATACTACTGAGATAATGATTCCTCTCCTGGTTGAATAAAGATGATTGTTTTCCTCACAAACACTGACCCCTCCTCTCTCTTTCTCTTCTTATACAACACCTTTTCCTATCCTTCGTCCTTATCATCTGCCCTTAAATTGATCCCTCCCTGTACTCACAGAACTTCCCCTTCCAAACCCCCTCTAACACAGGCTCAAAGTTTGAGCTAGTGAAGTTGATGATATAACTCAATTTGGTATCAATCATACCCACAAAGCCCCTATATGACCACATGTTTCACTGGCACTTAAGTCCCTATCATATATAAATGATAATAACCATGTGTACTGACAGTACCCACAATGCTCTACACTTTATTAGCTCACCTGCCCTGCCTTTAAATAACTTCTTCTAAAGAACGGACAGGCCTAGAGTCATGATATTTGGCTGAAAGCTTTGTTGGTCGGAGCCCGACAAATGTTAAGAACGAAAATGACCTTGACCTACTTTCAAGGTCACAGGGGTCAAATATGTCCAAAACTTCAAACGACTTCTTCTGAAGAACTGATAGGTATAGAATCTTCATATTTGGCTGATGGCTTCCTGGGATGGAGCCCAACATAGTTTGATAATGAAAATGACCTTGACCTATTTTCAAGGTCACAGGGGTCAAATGTGTCAAACACTTCAAATGACTTCTCCTGAAGAACGGAAAGGTATAGAATCTTTATATTTGGCTGCTGGCTTCCTGGGATAGAGCCCAACAAAGTTTGAGAATGAAAATTAGTTTGACCTACTTTCTAGGTCATGGGGTCAAATATGTCAAATGCTTCAAACGACTTTTTCTGACCAACTGAACGGTAAAGAATCTTTATATTTGATTGATGGCTTCCTAGGATAAAGCCCAACAATGTTTGAGAACGAAAATGACCTTGACCTACTTTCAAGGTCACAGGGGTCAAATGTGTCAAACACTTCTGAAGAACTGAAAGGTATAGAATCTTTATATTTGATTGATGGCTTCCTGGGATAGAGCCCAACAAAGTTTGAGAACGAAAATGACCTTGACCTTCTTTCAAGGTCACAGGGGTCAAATTTGTCAAACACTTCAAACAATTTCTTCTGAATAACTGAAAGGTATAGAATCTTTATAATTGGCTGGGAGCTTCCTGGGATAGAGCCCAATAAAGTTTGAGAATGAAAATGACCTTGACCATCTTTCAAGGTCACAGGGGACAAAAATGTCAAATGCTTCAAACAACTTCTTCTGAAGAACTGAATGGTATAGAATCTTTATATTTGATTGATGGCTTCCTGGGATAGAGCCAAACAAAGTTTGCGAATGAAAATGACCTTGACCTTCTTTCAAGGTCACAGCGTTCAAATATGTCAAACAGTTCAAACTACTTCTGAAGAATTAAAAGGCATAAAATTATAATATTTGGCTGGTGACTTCCTGGGATAGAGCTCACTAAAGTTTGCGAATGAAAATGACCTCAACCTACTGTATAGGTCACAGGTCAACAACATTTTAAAGGATTTGTTCTTAAGAGCTAAAAGGAATGGATTCATAAGATTTGAATGGTAGCTTTAAGGAATAGAGCTAACCAATTTGAGAAGGAAAATGACATTGACCTACTTACAAGGTCACAGGGAAAAATATGTCAAGCAACTTCTGAAGAAGAATAAAAAAGCATAGAATCTTATAATGATATTTTGCTGGTAGTTTTAACAGATGGAGCCAACAAAGTTTGCAAGGGAAATATTTGTAGTGCAATATAATATTTAATGAGAATATTTTGCTATGACTGCTTAAATATATAGGTGAGCGATACAGGCCCTTATGGGCCTCTTGTTATAAATTCCTCAAAGTTTCCATAATTGTAGTCTGTAATGCATGTGATGAGCAAAATATCCAAAATAACCAATTTTGTCCAGTTTCTTTTGATTTCAAAATGCATCATTAACTGGAAAAAAAAATAATGTACCAAAAGATTGAAAGAATACTGAAAAAACCTATTACTGTTTTAGTCATATTATCAATGTTAAATATACACAAGGAAAATGAAATCTCCCTATTGCAATTATTTCATAGTCCAATATTCTAATATTTATCTAATCTAAGTGAGATGAAATGCTAGGTAAAGGGAGATAACTTTTACACATTGGGACCTTAGTGCATTATAAAATAGGTAGGTTTCAAAGGTCAACACTAAGTATGGGCTGTACTGGGGAGTATGTATGTATACAATCTTCTCCTTTAAAATCATCATAGTAAGAGTTCTGTCATCTTTCAAATTCAGTACTGTTAAAAAAATTACACTGATTGATAAATGCAGAGAATTTTTATTTTGGATAATTTCAGCTGCTAGAAGATCCCATCTTTATCCCAATTTCTCAACTGGAGATGGATATAAATAGGCAACCAGCTGAATTTAGTATGATAGAGCAGGACATGAGACAAGGAAAGACCTCATTTAAACACATACCGAGGTCCAAGGACGGAAAAGCTAGGGTAAGTCCTGGCTATATACACAAAGACCTCATTTAAACACATACCTAGGTCTAAGGATGGAAAAGCTAGGGTAAGTCCTGGTTACAAACACAAAGACCTCATTTAAACACATACCTAAGTCTAAGGATGGAAAAGCTAGGGTAAGTCCTGGTCACAAACACAAAGACCTCATTTAAACACATACCTAAGTCCAAGGATGGAAAAGCTAGGGTAAGTCCTGGTTACATACACAAAGACCTCATTTAAACACATACTGAAGTCTAAGGATGGAAAAGCTAGGATAAGTCCTGGTTACAAAAACAAAGACCTAATTTAAACACATACCGAGGTCCGAGGATGGAAAAGCTAGGATAAGTCCTGGTTACAAATGCAAAGACATCATTTAAACACATACTGAAGTCTAAGGATGGAAAAGATAGGGTAAGTCCTGGTCACATACACAAAGACCTCACTTAAACACATACCGAGGTCCAAGGATGGAAAAGCTAGGATAAGTCCTGGTTACAAATGCAAAGACCTCATTTAAACACATACTGAAGTCTAAGGATGGAAAAGCTAGGGTAAGTCCTGGTCACATACACAAAGACCTCATAATGGCACCATCTGGGCTTTATATCCCAATGAAAAATTTGAGGACAGTATATCATGGTTACAGAGTATATTGGTTGCCCAATCAAATGCTGTGTTACATCTGAAATGAATTAGAATTGTTGGTGATTTATGCAGTCATGGTAGACTGGAGACACACCAACACATAACACAGGTCTGTACCACGAGTACGGTTGATAAAACCATACATACTGGGAATAGTAATGCTGACAATTCCATGTTATATGTGTAAATTACCCCTGCATGTAAATTTACCCCATTATATAGTGTGTCAATATGTTTGGGTGCATTAACTTTTGGTAAACACTATATACATTCAGATTATATACAGGTTATTTCTTCATACAGATCTAATGGCCTGTTTTATTATACAGGTTTCCAGATTAAACAATGTTTAGTATAAAGACAGTATTATAACTTACACTGGAACATTATCCATTTTTTAATATCTAAATTGTCACAATATTTTAATGCTGATATTTTCAACATTTTGTGGTTTCAGACGTACTACTACGGGGCCCTGAACGAGTCGGAATACTCCTTTGCCTACAGTTTGGCTGACACTGACATGGTAAGGAGACTTCGAGCTTCAGATTTTTTTCTCTAAAATAACACTTTCCAGATTTTAATGGAAATGACTTCCTCACTTGGAATGTCCACTCCAGTAAGCCAGGAGACAAAAAGGCCACAGTTTGGAGTTTGAATAGGCATGGTTACTATTGGTAAAGCTATATTTGTAGGATTTATAATTGTCCACTGACTTCTGACATTGATAAGAATATTATTGATTATACAGGGAATTCTGATAATCTTATTGGTCTCAAGATTTATATCAGTTTTAAAAATCAAAAATGGACAGATAATGGAGAAGCCACAATATAATTACAGCCCCTGTTGGTACTATAGAAATGGAAGGGAGGTAGCTCCTTCCCAATATAATTACAGCCCCTGTTGGTACTATAGAAATGGAAGGGAGGTAACTCCTACCAAATATAATTACAGCCCCTGTTGGTACTATAGAAATGGAAGGGAGGTAACTCCTAACTTTGAATCTGTAGAATGTAACATGTCACAAAATTGCCTTGAAAGACAAACAAAACTTTTGCGAAAGAGCTTGAAAAATACAAGGAATATAAGTGTGATGGACAAATATTTATGAGTCCAGAAAATGTATCATGGAGATACAGTAAATCTGCCTTGTATATAATACTAACAGAGTAACGAGTGGCTGCCTCCGTACCGTACATTTGTCAATGTGACAATATAAAATCTAGGAAATTGTGAAAAAAGCTATCACAATTATAAATGTGAATTCAGATATCTGCATTCTGTTCAGATATACCCTAAAAATACTCTGAATTTTTTACTCAAGATTTTGTAACTGTCTGACAGGTGTTTAGGAGATCTCAGGAGCCGACTGATAGATCTAAATACACCATAAGTATCTTCAATCTACTGAAAGAGTATAGAGGTAACATCTCCAGGGAGCGTTTACCAGGCATGGCCGAGTTTATAGAGATCAAGGAGAATGAAGACAGGTAAGTCATTCCTTTACTTTACAGAGATCAAGGAGAGTGAAGACAGGTGAGTCATTCCTTTTGTTTATAGAGATCAAGGAGAGTGAAGACAGGTAAATCATTCAATTAGTTTATAGAGATCAAGGAGAGTGAAGACAGGTAAGTCATTCC